CTTAAAAGTCCAGGTTCAATGAGAGACCCTGTCTCAAGGGAGTAAGGCGGAGAAGTGATAGAAGACACTTGATGTCCTCCTTTGGCCTCAGTGAAGGTACACACACCTGCATATACATATGTCTATAACCCACCCCACACACACACACACACACACACACACACACACACACACACACACCTTGCTGGATGAATGACTGCAAATCCCAGCTGGGCAGAGAGGGAGAGGAAAAACAGAACAGTTGGGGAACCTCAGGACCCATCGGCTCCCTGAATTGGGCTGTTTTCAGGGTCACCAAAGAAAGGGGTGAGGAAGAGGGCTAGAATCTAGAAAGAGGCAGATCCTACACCAGGTGCTGCGGCGCCCTAGGTTCTTGGCCACTGTTCTGTTCTGGGACCATGAGCATGGAACGGTCTGTCTGCCCCAAGAGAACCAGGTCCATCAAGTTTTTTAGGATCCTGGGCAGATAAGCAACTCACTTTCTTCACTCCTTTTGTCCATCACGTTACCTTCAACTCTGTTAGACCCAGGTGGTGGAGCCCTGTGGTCCCGCCCATCAGCAGCGCAGCCAATGAGACGCCCTCGCAGCTCTTTTGAAAGGGGATCCGCCCAGAGTCACAGGGGAGGGACAGGCGCTGAAGGGCAGGGGCAGCTGGTCTGCCACACAGGACTATTTGGGACTCTGCACTTTGAGTGTCCCCACCCCCAATCCCCAGTTCAGCTGACCCAGGACCTGTGGCATCTTTCCCAGCGTGCCTGCCCACGAGAGGAAGTACTTTGACTGTTGGGGTGGAGGGTGGGGGAAGACAGGGAGGTCAGGGCTTCTCACCCGACGACACCCCTTCTCAGCCTGCTCCCCAAGTTCCATAACCTCGGTTCCCCAAGAATGGGGCAGAGCGGGGCCAGAACCAGCGGGAGGGCAAAAGGGCAGCAGACCACACGCCCAGGGAGGCCTGCACCCAGGGTGGGGTGCCACTTTGTGGGGGGACCTGACCTCTTTTGGTAGGCCGCCAGCCCCGTGCTACTCTCTCAGCCTATCCTCTGCCCCTCGGCTCCCAAAATGCTTAGTACCATACGCGACCGGAGAGGGGGGTTCAGGATCCTGCAGGTGGCCTCTGCATGCTCTGAGCTTGACCTTGGAGAAGTGGGCGCCAGCACTGGGCCTCAGTTTCCCTCCTGCGCTTGGAGGACGGTGGCAGATCCCAGAGGATCTGTGGGGGTGCTCTGCGAACCATTCCTGGGGCAGGGCCGCCTTCCTAGTCAGAGGGTCCGGGTGTGGGAGCTGAGCGTGACCGTGGACTGAGAGATGGGGGTCCCCAAGTCCCTCGTGTGGTGCCATCCGGCCGGGGAGGCCCACGCCCGGCGCTCACACTTACATTTGGCCTCCTTCCAGTCTGTGGAGGTGCTCAGATCCACCTTCGCGGCCATGGCCAGAGGGGCCCAGGTGCGCACCCCGGCTCCGCGCCCAGCCGCCCTCAAAGCCCCAATTCCCGCCGCGCGCCACCCGTGGGGGCCGTGCGCGCCCAGCACCGCCGGGGGACCGCACGCACTGCCGCGGGGCGGCGGGCTACCCGCCGAGCGGCCAGGCCAGGGGCGCGGGGAGACCAGCAGCTGCCCCGCCGCGCGCAGCTGTGCCAGGCGGCCGGACACTTGGCTCAGCAGCGACATGAGCAGGCGGCGCCGGGCGGCTCCCCGCCCACTCGGACTCTATTTACGGTGCTCGGGAAGAGTGCACTCTCCCTTATTTACTCTCGGACGAGAGTGGCGTGTGCCAGCCGGTGGCGACCTGCTTGGAGACCGCGGGCGGCGCAGCCTGAAAACCCCCGGCGCGCCGCTGGGCACCCTGGAACTTGTAGTCCCGGGGCAGGCCATCCGGACTCGCGCACTCGTGTGCACACATGCGCGCCCGCTCCTCCCCAGCCCGTGCGCATCCTCCGCGGTGTGACCAAACCAACTTGAAACCAACTTGCTGGAGCTCGGGTAACTCGGTTCTCCGCAACTTGGGTCCTCAGTACCGAAGTCGGGGTGCAGGACGCGACCTGCTCTCTACCGTGTGTTTTGCAGACAGAAGGACCAGGGCTTGTCACAGTCCATCTCTGCATCCGGGCCCCTGCTGCCGCGGGTCCCAGTCCGCTAAGGGGAGTTAACGACCGAGAACCAATTGTTCGGATTGGGCGACTTCTCCCGGCCGGGCTGCAGAGCCTCCGCCTCCGCATAGCTCCGCTCGAACTGAATTCAGGCAGACTGCGAGGCACACAGTGAAATTTGAAAGGCAGAAACTTGAATGCTTAGCCCGGGGTCATAGTACACACCTGTAATTCCCTCTGAGACCTTGTCTCAGTCAGTCAGTCTATCAGTCGGTCAATATTTTAAAAAAAGAGAAGCCCAGGGGCTGGAGAGACAGCTCAGCGGTTAAGAGCACTGACTGCTCCTGCAGAGAACCGGAGTTAGATTCCCAGCAACCACATGGCGGTTGCCAACGGTCCTTAACTCCAGTTCCAGGAGAATAAGCCCTCTTCTGACCTCCACAGCATTGCACAACACGGGTGCACTCACATACATGCAGGCAATACACTCATACACATAAAATAAAAATAATTAAATTTTTTTTTTTTATTTTAAAAAGAGAAGCCTGGTGTGGTGGCTACACCTTTGATCCCAGCACTCAGGAGGCAAAGGTAGGTCTGTGAGTTTTGAGGCCAGGCCAGCCTGGTCTACATAGTGAGTTCCAGGCCAGCTGGGGCTACAGGGAGACTCTGTCTTAAAAATACAAAAAAAAAAAGAAAAGAAAAGAAAAGAAAAAGAAAACCTAAGTGCTTAATGTCATTCTCCGGTGTATGAACAGGGGCCATTTGTTTTTCTTTACACTTTCCCTAACTTAGCAGGGTGTGGTGACACTCACCTGTAATTCCAGCAGTCCAGACTGAGCGGAAAAGCAGACGGGTCATATCCAGTTTAACACCAGCCTGGACTACATGAGACCTTGTCTCAAAAAAGCAAAATCAAAGTCTGATGAACTGGCTCAGTGGATAGAGGGGTCTGCTGCCAAGCCCTACAACTTGAGTTTTATCCTCAGGAATCACATGGTGGAAGGAGAGAATTGACTCCTCCAAGTTGTCCTCTGACCTCCACACATGCTCAATGGCACATACCCACATATATACAAACCCACAAAATAAAATAAATTTTAAAATTTTTTAAATATTTTATTTTTATTTTATGTGTATGAGTGTATTGCCTGAATGTATGTGAGTGCACCCATGTCATGCAATGCCTCAGAGGTCAGAAGAGGGCTTCGGATTCCCCTGGAACTGGAGTAAGGACAGATCGTAGCCACCACGTGGGTGCTTGGAGTTGAACCTGGGTCCTCTGCAAGAGCAGTCAGTTCTCTTAACTGCTGAGCCATCTTTCCAGCCCTCAATGGACAATTTCTACACACAGCTATGTTTAAACAATAAAATCCAGGGGAGAGCACAAACACACTCCTCCACTACCACAAATTGTGAAGCCAAGTTTCCGACATTTGGGGAAATCACAGGGGTCAGCACATCCCAAGTGCAATGGGTTGGATCCCCTAGAACTGGAGTTACCGATGGGTGTTAGCCACCATGTGGGTGCTGGAAATTGAACTTTGGTCCTCTGCAAAAAGCAGCCAGTGTTCTAAACCACTGGGCCATCTCTCCAGTCCTAAGGGTACATTTACGTATATGCAAGTAAAACACTCATATACATAAAATAAATTTTAAATATTTTAAAGATTTACTTCCTGAAAAACAAAACAAGCAGGAAAAAGGACACAGGGACTGGAGAGATGGCTCAATGGTTAAGAGCACTGACTGCTCTTGCAGAGGACCTGGGTTCAATTCCCAGCACCTACATGGTAGCTAAAAACCATCTCTAGGCTGGGCATAGTGGTGCACACCTTTAATCCCAGCACTAGGGAGGCAGAGGCAGGCGGATCTCTGTGAGTTCAAGGCCAGCCTGGTCTACATAGTGAGTTCCAGGACAGCTGGGGCTACAGGGAGACCCTGTCTCAAAAAGACCAAAAAAAAAAAAAAATCTCTTAAGTCCAGTTCCAGGGAATCCTACACCTTCTTCTGACCTCTGAGGGTATTGCATGATACAGGTGCATTTATACACATGCAGGCAATACACTCATACACATTAAAAATAAATAGGGCTGAAGAGGTGGCTCCTCAGTTAAGAACACTGGCTCTTCTTGCAGAAGACCCAGGTTCAAATCCCAGCACCCAGCTAACAACTGTCCATAACTCCAGGAATTGCATGACACAGGTGCACTTACACACATGCGGGCAATAGACAAATACACATAAAATAAAAATAATAAAATTTAAAAATAAAGTAAAATAAAATATTTTTAGGCCCAGCACAGTGGTGGCACACACTTTTAGTCCCAGCACTCAGGAGGCAAAGGCAGGCAGAGCTCTGTGAGTTCAAGGCCAGCCTGGTCTACATAGTAAGTTCCACACCAGCTGGAGCTACAGGGAGAGCCTGTCTCAAAAAAAGACTAAAATGAAAAAAAAAAAAAAGAGCACTGGTTGCTCTTGCCAAGGACATGAGCTCAATTCCCCCACATGGTGACTAACAACTGTTAAGGTTCAGATAGCCCCGCCCCCTCACCAATGGGTCTCAAGGACTTCTCACGCCCCTGAGAAAGGGGAGCCAAGCTGATAAAGCACCCTGGTCTTTGAGGGGCCTCACAAGCCCCTGAGAAAAGGGAACTGAGTTGATAAGCACCCTAGTCTTTGAAGTCAAGAGAAGCAGACTTTTCTCCACTGTTTGGCCAACATGGCAGGCTTCCCCTTTGATTGCTAAAGAGGACAGGGTTTAACAGTCCCGCTCTCCCACTTTCCCCTGCCCAACTTTAAAAAAAATACATCTTCCCACCTTCTGCAGGAAGCAGAAGTCTCCGTCTTTAAAAGACCCCAGCTCACAACCCTAGCAGACATTTTTCCTGTCCAGAAGGGAATCTGTCCCATGTGTTCCTTTGCTAATAAACTCTGCTTTCTCCTGATTGACCCTATTCCTCATGTGGCTACTTTTTATCTATCAACAACCACCTGTAACTCCAGCTCCAGGGAATCCAACACCCTCTTTTGACCTCCCAGGCATTGCATGACACTGATGCACTTACATACATGCAGGCAATACACTCATACATATAAAATAATAAGTGAAATTTTTAAAAAAAAAACAAAAAGGACAAGGGGCTGGAGAGATGGCTCAGCGGTTAAGAGCACTGACTGCTCTTGCAGAGGACCCAGGTTCAATTCCAAGCACCCACATTGGGGCTATGAACCGTCCTTAACTCCAGTTCCAGGGGAATCCGAAGCCCTCTTCTGACCTCCGCCAGGGGTGCACTCACATACATGCAGGCGATACACTCATACACATAATATAAAAATAAATAAAATATAAAATTAAAAAATAGCTGGGCATGGTGGCACACGCCTTTAATCCCAGCACTCAGGAGGCAGAGGCAGGTAGATCTCTGTGAGTTCAAGGCCAGCCTGGTCTACATAGTGCGTTCCAGGACAGCTGGGGCTACAGGGAGACCCTGTCTCAGAAAGACCGAAAAAAAAAAAAGACAAAAAGAGACAAGTGAGTGCCCTCCTCCTGTAAATTGCCACAAATCTAGCAGTGTGATGTCAGATTTGTTATCTAAGTTGCTTGGGGCAGGAATCAGAAGTTAAAAGCACTGAGTCAACAGAATCACACACCATTGGCCTTTTTCCTTCCAGGAAGTGCTAAGGGAGTTGTTGTTCCAAGGTTTTCCAGCTTCCAGTGGTCACATGACTCCCTCTAGCAGCCTCACAGCCAACCTCAAGGCCTCTCCTGTCTTCCCCGCTGCTGGACCTTTCTCTCTTCTCCTGGGCTGCTGTGACTACCCAGCCTACTTCATATCCAGGAGAAACTCTATATTTGAGGCTAATCAGCTGATTTGCAACCTGTTTCCCTTTGCTAGAGGCTGTGTTCACAGGCTCCAGGGTTTGGCATAATGACATCTTTGGACAAGGGAGGGCACTCCTAGGGAAAGGCTGGTCCCAGACAAAGAAACCCTTGGTAACAGGAAGGCTGCCTTCCACTCAGGGCCTGCAAACCCTGTGGATGAGCTGGCATCCTCTCCAGCCAAGGCACACTGGGTACAATCCTTATGGTTCTTTCTGCTGGGATTCAAGGAAGTGAAGGTCTGTGGGAAACTTGGGTCAGAGGCAGGGGCGATTCTGGGATTCTGGATAGACAGGGTCCCAATGGGGCTACCTTCACAGAATTTGAGCCCAGTAATCTGAAACAGAGTCTCATAGCCCAGGTTGCTTTCCATCCCATGTACAGTTGAGGATGGCCTTGAACTTCTGATCCTCCTGCCTCTACCCCAAGGGTTGGGATTACAGGGTAGGCTCCACATCAGGTTTATGCAGTGCTGGGAATCAAACCCAAGGCTTTGTGCATGCCGGGTAAGCATGCTACCAACTGATCCTGGCCTGGAACTTTCTATATAGGTAGCCAAAGATAACCTTGAACTCCTGATCCTCCTTCTTCCACCTCCCAAATGCTGCCAGACTTTTAGCAGAAGTTAAATTTTTCCAGGATCTGAAGGAATGTGTGTATGTGTGTGCATATGTCTCTGTGTGTCTATCTGAATGTGTGTATCTGTATATGTATGTCTGTGTCTCTGTGTGTTTATGAGTCTGTGTGTGTGTGTGTGTCTATCTATGCCTCTGTGTCTATGTATCCATGTGTCTGTGTCCATGTCTATGTGTCCATGTGTATGTGTCCGTGTGTGTGTATGTGTGCCGGTGCCAGCCGGCCAAGACGGACAGTACCTGAAAGGGGGAGTGAGGATTGAAAGAAAAAACAAGAGACAGAAAAGATACTTGGGAGGGCTGTCAGTAGAGACTGCAGCCCCGGTTTATTTCAGCTCTGCCTTTTTATACAGAAGAACTCAATTAGTTTCAACAGCTGTTTTTCCCACCTGTATCTGAGGGCCAAGGAGCGGTCAAATACTTGTTGTGAACTCCACCATATAAACACATTCCTCCTGACTTGGCAGATTAGGTCAAAACACAAACTCTAAGTAAACAAGCAAGCCTGCCACAGCCCAATGTACATAATGAATTAATAGCTCCCAACATGTATGTGTCTATGTGTCTGTTTCTATGTGTCCATATGTATGTGTCTGTATGTATGTATGTGTCTGTGTATATGTGTCTGTGCATCTCTGTATCTCTGTATGTATGTATGTATGTATGTGTGTGCCTATGTATAGGTGTGTCTTTGTGTATGTCTATGTGTGTCGGGAGCAGAAGTAAAAGCATGGAAGTCTCTGGAATGCTGAATCCTCCTGTGAATCCAACATCCTCTTCTGGGCCTCCATGGGCATTGCAGGACACAAGTGCACTTACATACATGCAAGCAAAACACTCATACACATGCAAAAAAATGAAGGAAAAAAGAGAGGAAGTAGACACAGTGGTGCAATCCTATAATCTCAGCACTGGGGAGGCAGAGGTAGGATGTTTGAGAAATCAATGTCGGGACTGGGGAGATGCCTTACTCAGTAAAGTGCTTGAGTCCAATCCCCAGCACCCAGAAAAAAAGCCAAGTGTGGTGGTGTGTGTTGGTAATCCCAGTTCTGGGAAGAATATACTAGAAGATTCCTGGAGCTCACTGGAACCAGACGACTTAGCCTGATCAAGCCTCAGGTCAGTCAAGGTGGGCTGGAGAGATGGCTCAGCAGTTAAGAGCACTGGCTGCTCTTGCAGAAAACCCATATGGCAGTTAGCCATCATCTGTAACTCTAGTTCCAGGGGATCCGATGCCTTCTTCTGACCCCTTTGGGCAATGCCCAACATGGGTGCACTTACATTCATGCAGGTAATACACTCATACACATAAAATAAAATAAAAATAATAAGATATATTAAAAAACAAGGTAGACAGTTCCAGAAGAACAAGGTTGCTCTTTGACCTCCACATGTATTGTGTACACATGTGCAGGCATATTCCCCATACCCAAACAGGAATTTACACCTACAGATACACACAGAAATAACATAAAAACGAAAAGAATTCAAAACCAACCTGTGCTACAAGACAGGGTCTCCCTGGAGCCCCAGCTGTCCTGGAACTCACTATGTAGATCAGGCTGGCCTCAGTCTCCCAAGTGCTGGGATTAAAGGTGTGCACCACCACGCCCGGCAATTATGTGAGTTTTTAAATAAATTTTTTATTGAATTTTTGTGTGTTTCATACATAAAATCTTTATATCCCCTTCCCCTTTGGCACCCTCCCATAGTCGCCCCCCATCAGAGTTCATACAAACTGTCATTTGTATTAAGGCCTATTATGTAAAGTTAGTGTCCTGAGATGTCCCTCAGTCAAGTAAGTTCATCCACCATGGTTTAGTCAGCCTATCTAGAGTATCCCTTCAAGAAGATCAGCTCTTCCTCAGCCAGCAGTATTCAGCTGCCAATAATTCTTCGACTATGGTTGGGGCTTGCTGTTTGTTTCCACAGTTCTGTGCTGAGTTTTTGTCTGTCTAAGTTTGCATGGTCTTGTGCATTCTGACACCATTGCTGTAGGTTTGCATGAGAAGA